AATGTTTTTGTTTTGATGCTTACATCAGAAAAAAAATTATTTTGCTTTTATTTATTTATTTCATATATCAAAGAGGCACAAAATCACTTTTACAGACTTTTACATTAAAGGGTTAGTTCACCCAAAAATGAAAATTAGCTTGTGTTTTACGAACCCTCGAAGCATCTTAGGTGTATATGACGACCACCATGCTACCGTTTCAGAAGACTTGAAAACAGACTACTTTTATGACACTTTTAGGGGCCGTTCACATATCGCGTCTTTTGCGCGCTCAAGTTCGTTATTTCAAATGTAGACGCGCGGCAGGCGCGCTCATAATGGAAGCGACGCGCTCATTTTTTCCAGGTGCGTCCGTTTTATCAAGATAAAAACATTTAAACTTTTCAGAATACTGCAAGCACACCGCGGATCATGTGACAAGGACCAACCAATCAGCTTCATCCTTTCCCGTAACAACATTGAAAGCTCAGCCAAGATGAAGGAACAGCTGATCATAGCTGTACAGGATAGACATTTTTAAATAAATTTAGTAGCAGAGCTACTGCAAGCGATTTATCCTTTGCTGAAACTTCCCCGTCTTTATGGAGAGCGCAGGTCATGGTTGCTTAGCAACGGCAGACGCCTCTGGAGCGCAAGCGCCCGAACACTTTGGAAAAAAGCAGAAAGCGGCGCGTCTAGCGTTTTCAACGCATTTTTAGGCGCGACATGTGAACAGCCCCATAAACAAACTCGAGAGACTAGGGCTCTAGGGTTTCTGAAGCTTGGTCGTGACGCGACGGACCCACAATTCATTTCGCCAACGCTTGACGTCACTCCATTCAAAATAAACGAGAGGCATTGACGCTGATGCCCCATGTGAATGGGGCGTCAGAGGCGCGCGCGCTGCGCATACGTGCTGCGTCATCCGCCTGTGTGATGCCTTGTCCCGGCTGGAGCGACGAGACAAAAACATTAAAAGCCATTATAAACGAGGCATTTGTTGCATCCAGTGTGGACACAATTACAGATTATAATGACTTATACGGTCTTTTTACGCGTTGCATTGCATCCCGCCGTGTAAACATAAAACCATGTCTGCATTTGTGATCGAAGAAATGACAAACTACAAACGCTACTCTACACTGCTCAAAACTCGCGTTTGAATCGTCAGTGGCAAATTCTTTAAATATAAAAACGTTACTTACAGTTTGTGAGTCAGAACAGCCAGCATTGTAGTCTACTCTACTGCGCTGGACACATCGGAATATTTGGGTTGAACTGTTCTGGAACAGTGTT